ACAACATTAATGTGGGCTGCCAAGAGAGGACTCCTGAAAGTGCTAACTAAATCTAAATTTATTCAGGTAATAAAACATTTTTTTTTTAATGATTTTTTTTAAATAAAGGACACTGCATTATTGTGAGCTGCCATCTTCCCTCAAAAAGTATGGATAAACACAATTATTGCATGCTGTAAAAGAGAGAACTCCTGGATGTGTGGCAATATAAACATTAACAATGGAAGTAATATAGGGGGCCATAGACAGAGAAATTTAAAATGTTATCTACATTATCACACGTTTCTTCATATTGAATCATCTCTTAGTTAACCTATTGATATTAGTGTCTTTTAATATGCAAGAATATTTGTTATTTACTTAGAATTTAAATTACATATAAACTTTTTTTTCTCAGAATTTGGAAAGACACCATTAATGTTGGCTGCTAACTTTTTTCCAAAAATTTGGATGGACAGCATTAATGTGGGCTGCTAATAAAGGACTCCTAGAAGTATTAATGTACATCTAATTAACAATGAAAAGTAATCCAGAGGCCAGACAGGGTGATTTAAGCTATTATTTCATCTATATGATCACACTTTCTATTGAATAAAAAACAATATCTCGTTCAATCTTGAAAACCAGCAGTGAAATAATAACGTTAATAGTAAAATGGGCAATTCTTTATGTGCATTTTTCTTTTGCCATAACAGCCATACTTGATTATAAGGCACAATCCTTCAGAAAAAATATATATTTAATTCTTACATTAGGTAGAAAATTGTTCTATCAAAATTAAGAGTGAATATCTTAACAAATTATCTATAAATGCCAGTTCAATGCATATTTTTCCCTTTTGGTCTGATTATTCTCCTGTTACCAACCTTCCATTGTAGGTAAGCAAAAGCTTTAATGATGGCTGAGAATAAATTACACAGAAACAAGATTGGTCTGGAAATTTGGTAAGGAATATGACATTTTTAATGCAATAAATGAATAACATTATTTAATGGTTAATGTTTTCTTATCATCAGTGTTTTGCAATCTACCAACAAAACATGACGAATATTTATAGTTATAAATAATATATAATATTAATCTAGTATTAACATAATTTATTTTTATTTGCCCAGAAGAGGTGAGTACATCTCATGAATGTATTTTTAATCCCCTAGTTAATTGCGATGAGAACATGTTATGAAGGCAAACATATTCTATATAATATAAATGTAAATTCATGGTAAGTATATTTAACCCTATAAATTCATATAAAATCTCTTCTTGAGATTTCAACAATAACCATTTTTTATTTGCCCAGAAGAGGACATCTTGTTACAGTCATAAACAATAGAAAGTTGAGTTTCATTTTATTCATTTCATCGCAGAGAATCTTTTTGATAAAATAGATTTTTAATTTATATATTTGATCTTAATTTCAACAAAACATGTCTTGCTTATATAACAGTTATCATTATGGTAGAATATTATCTAGTATAAACATATTTTTTTTTTGCTCTATTTAGGAGGGACAGTATTAATGCATACGGCCTGGAGAGGACATCTGAAGGTGGTGAGGTACCTGGTCACACACAGCAGTCAAAAGATATCTTCTTACAATCTTGTGGGTTTTTGGGTTTTTTTTGGTTTTTTTTACAGAATTTGAAGAGACAACATTAATGCATGCTGCCCATAAAGGACATCTGGAGATTGTCTGTTACCTGATCACACTTGGCTGTATAAAGATAGTGCCTTACAATTTCATGGTTTTTTTTTTTATTTAAATAAAAAAAAAAAATTATATCATCAGACAGATTAAATAGACATTTTACAATAAATTGTGTAAACATAATATTTTTTTTTTGCAGAAATGAAGAGAAATCTTACTAGGTAAAGTTTCCTGAAAAGGAAACCTGGAGATCTTCCGTTATCTGATCAGACAGTTATGCAAAGATAATGCCTCCTAACAAATTCATGTTTTTTTTCATATCGAATCAACATTTATTTATGTAGACCAACATAGATTATTAAATAGACCTTTAAAGAATTACTTGATAATAAACAATGGATGGTTGAGTTTCATTTTATAGATTTAGTCAGAGGGAAAATAACAGGTAATAAATTAAAGACCGTAATAAAACTGAATATCATTTTCTACCTATGGTCATACTGAATCCATGTAAATATTAAGTTGTACATTTATTTGTAAAGGTTATTTCTTAAAATAACATGTTGTCTAATGATGTTCTAAAATCTTGTTAGAACCCATATTGTTTGTTTTATTTAAACTCTAAAGGAAACATTTGGTTTATTATTATTTTTACAGAATATGATGAAGGAACACGCAATATCACAGTTGGCTGTGATAAAGAAGCAAGAACAAAATAATGGAAATACTCTCCAAGTTGAGAAAGAATCGTGTTTTTAATCAGAAAGGATTAATGGGTAATAAATACTTGCTAATATCGTTAACTTTACTGGCTTTGCACAATCCTTAATACAAATGCAAAACTTATTTTTAGTATTTGTCGTGTGCACAAGATTGCTAATAAATATAAGTTTTCGCTGGCAATAAGTTGACGATAGTTCTTTTAAAGATCTACATACAATGGCATACAAGGGCAGTAAGTAAGTAATACAATTGATTATGAAATATAAAATTGATAAACATTTAAAACAGTAAGAACCTTTGCTGACATCACATATGAATAAATATAAATATAACTTTAAATTATAGTAATTCTCTCTCCAAATGAGATCATATACATGTATAATAATTATTTTACTCTTGTCAAGAAAAAGATAATTGTTGAAATCAATACTAATATCTTATATTTCCAGAATTATGGACAGACAACATTAATGTGGGCTGCCAAGAGAGGACTGCTGAAGGTACTAACTAAATCCATCAAAATTAATATTTTTGTCAAATTTAAAGCTGACCATAAATTCGGAAATGGAAAAGTTTAAAATGAATGTGAGAATGCAAGAAGGGAAAGTTTTTTTTTGATATTAGTTGTGGTGTCATCATCACGACCAATATCCAAAATATTTTAATGTAAGCAAAATTACTTAAGGAAAGCATGTTGGTTGCCTATCTACAGTACCATATCCATCCTAATGGAATAGCCCCAAAAAAATATACAATCTTCCACACAGCTTGTAAGTCACTATCTTAATAATTCTGTTAACTTGCACTACTCTCTTCAGTCTTAAATATAAAATTATATGGAAAAATATTGATGTTATGGTCAAACAAAGAATTTGTGTTTAGGGTTTTATGCTAAAGAATTGTTGCCATTTGGTTCTGGTATTTTAGTAAAATTTGGGAAAATATAAAGTCTTCCATCTATTACATTAAATTTGCCAGTTACAAGACCTGTCGTTGAAAAATTAAGTTTAAAACAGTTCAAAGATCAGTGTTGTACCTGATACCCTAAACACAATTAATTTTTGGTTTGGCTAAGGTCACAAACAAGGGTTTCATATTTACACATGATAAAAAGGTTGAGATTGCAGTGGATTGCACGATATAATATTGTTCATTGCACTTTTATAATGTGGATGAAGAATTTGAGATAAATAATAATTATAAAGCTTAAACAGTCAATAATTATTATTCTAATGCAGTGAAACCTACAAAAGCCATCATTCACAGGGCTGAGTCATAAAAGGAGAATTTTAAAGAATTTTCAAATGTCACAATCAGGCCTCACGGTCATAAAACTTTTTAGTATGATTATACTTCTCAAGACTCAATAAAATGCTCCGCTGGGGTGCAGCTTGATACGACCGCAGAGGTCGAACCCTGAACAGTTGGGGCAAGTATGGACACAACATTCAAGCTTGATACAGCACTGAATTTGGATTGTAATTAAATATTTGACACAGCATAGGTTTCTGACACAGAATGAAAGTGGTCTAAGAACTTAAAAATTTTCAATTTACCTATTCATACATGTGATGGACTGTGAAACTCAGATCAGGAGATTGGGAAATTTTGGTCAGGAGATTAGGACTCAGATCAGGAGGTTTTTAATCGACATTAATTTTGTTGTAAATGTAACCGTGTGCTGTAAAAATGGTCTTTTAAAGTGTGTTTTCTTCAACTTTCCATCCAATTTATTATGTTTATAGTACCCTTGTACTTATAAAGTTTCTCCATCTTTATATTCTACATGTTCAATCTAACATTGTTTTTTTCCAGTATGTTCTTTAAATTTTTTACTTCATATTCTATAAAACAATCATTGCAACCAGAACATTTGTTTAGCTATCTGCAAATAGTTTTTATTTATTTTTTTTTTCTCTTGCAAATAGTTTTTATTTGCAAACCCAGAAAATCATTCTATCTGTAAAATGAGGGTCATAGTTACTATATAAATTTCAATTTAAGCCTTGAAAGGAAGTATAGAATCCTCAAATAATTTTCAAATTATTATTTTTTTATTTGTCCTAAGACATTTAAAATCATTTAATAACCATCCTTTTATGATTATTTGTTCAATTTATATTTTATTTATATTCTTTTATAAATTTTCATTATTAAAAGGAAAGTAACTTAAAACAGGATAAATCAAGGGAAGTAACCCAATAAATACACAGTTTTTGTTACACAACGGCAGTTAGCCTGAGGTGAAAATTGTTGATTACCAGTATGTTTGACACCCAAGCTGACAAGTGAAGCCATATAATTATGCATGTTAATTGATTCACAGGTAAAATATAACTTCAGGTGATGTCAGTTACACCAGATGCCTGAGATGATATGGTGGGCAGAAATTTTTCATTCATGAAAAATTTCATACACAGGATTTTTTCCTCTTCAACGGGGGGTCGGGAGGAGACCCCTGAAAACGGGATTATTGTACTCCCGTCGGGAGGTTCACATGTATGCCTATTCAAACCATATCATTATTATTTGCTTTTATATATAAATCAGAAATAACCAATTTAAAATGGAAAATGTTAAAGAAAAAAAAGGAAACCCCCCCCCCCCCCCCCCCAATTTTTTGAACCCCCTTATGATTCATCACCCCCAAACTCAATCCCAGCTTTCCCTTTGTGGTATGGTACCTTGCAGTACAATTTCAGAGAGATTCATACACTTAAACACAAGTTATTGTCTGGAAACTAGAAAAATGCTTGTTTTTTGGCCCCTTTTTGGCCCCAAATTCCTAAACGTTTAGGGCAATTACCCCCAAACTCAATTCCAGCTTTCCCTTTGTGATATGGAACCTTGTAGTACAATTTCATAAAGATCCATACACTTACACACAAGTTATTGTCCTGAAACTAGAAAAATGCATGTTTTTTTTGCCCTTTTATGGCCCCTAATTACTAAAATTTTGAGGGAAAACCCCCAAAATCAATCCCAGCCTTCCCTTTGTGATATGGAACCTTGTAGTACAATTTCATAAAGATCCATACACTTACAAACAAGTTATTGTCATGAAACTAGAAAAATGCTTGTTTTTTGCCCCTTTTTGGCCCCTAATTCCTAACATTTGGAGGAAATTACCCCAAAAATCAATCCCAGTATTCCCTTTGTGATATGGAACCTTGTAGTACAATTTCATAAAGATCCATACACTTACAAACAAGTTATTGTCATGAAACTAGAAAAATGCTTGTTTTTAGCCCCTTTTTGGCCCCTAATTCCTAAAATTTGGAGGCAATTACCCCCAAAATCAATCCCAGCATTCCCTTTGTGATATGGAACCTTGTGGTACAATGTCAGAGAGATCCATACACTTACACACAAGTTATGTCTGGAAGTTACAAAAATGCTTATTTTTGGCCCCTTTTGGCCCCTAATTCCTTAACTGTTAGTACCATAACCCCCAAAATCAATCCCCACCTTCCTTTTGTGGTATTGAACCTTATGGTAAAATTTCATTGAGATCCATTCACTTAAACTAAAGTTAGAGTGCGAAAACTAATGTGTATTCGGACGACGACGCCGACGACGACGACGACGCCAACGTCATACCAATATACGACCACAAAAATTTTTTTGCGGTCGTATAAAAAGCACTCAATCAAAATACTAGATTTGGTGTTTCTGGCACAAATTTTGTATTCTCGAGTAGAGTAAAGTGTTATGACCCAGAGCCCTGAGCTTTATACATTTACAAGAAAACACAGCAAAGAAAGCCTTTTACCCTGGTTACTTTGAAGCCATGAAGAGCAATGATAAATAGACCTATTCATGATTATTTCTTAACATAGTAGATCAAATCTTTCTAATATTAACAATTTCCACGAATCTACTAGCTATTTTTTACCAATTCTGACCTGAAGAAACTTTCCCAACAGCTTTATATTTTTTTCACTTTTAGTAATGTCACCATCACAGTACTGATTGAATTTCCCAAAAATCACAAGAAAATAAGTATTTATTATTTTTTTTTTTTTCAAGAAAATAAGAGGATACAATGTTTTGTAACTCAGAGCAGTCAGTTAGAAGCCACAGACAAGGAAGGAAAGACCCAAAATTTTACATAAATCTTATTCATTACATAGTATGGACTAAAACCATACTTTTGCAATAGACAATTTATGAAAATTCACTTTTAATCACATTTTATCAAAACCTCAAGAGATTAAAATGCATTCTTTACAAAGAACTGAATATAAGAAGACAAGACCCTATTTACAGAAAATGAGATGGACCAAAAAAAAGAAAACAAAAGGCCTATTTTACCTGGCTTAACGTCATTATTGAGATTCAGCTTAAATATTTTCAAGGGAGGTAATCATTAAAGTGGTTCTTACCTAGAACCCTTAAAAATATAACATATTAGTCAAATTAATAGTCAATAAAAATAAAATTCTTATACATGTTTAAATTTTTGTTGAAAACTGGCAAAGTTAAAAAATCACAATAAATTAACTAGAATTACTAAACCTGACTAATTATATGAAATTTGTTTCATTTTCAAACATTTGGCAGTGAAAAATGTTATTCTCGCAACTGAAAGGAAAACTCAATGCCAATTGTCTTTGTAGCAGAGAACCTTAAATAAGAACTGTTTTATATTGGCTTCTGAGGTTAATGATTTATCTGTTTGGCAAAAAAAAGTTGGTTCCATTTAAATTCGGCAATAACATTGATAACAGATCAATGACAGTAATTCCAAAATTTTGGCATTGGATGTAGGCTGCAAAAAAAGACAGCATCGTAAATCAAAATTCCCAATTTAAATTTTTCTCAATTCTTTTATTTAAAGCACATTTTAGTCTGTAAACTGATTAACTGTCAAAATGATAAATGCAGGCAAAAATTTCTGAACTAACAGTATTCAATCATATTATTATTGCATATGACTGCCATAAAAACAATGCCAATTTTGTGTCACCAACTGATTTTAAAATAAAGATCACATTCATTGACAATATTGAAATTACATTCTAAAACTACACGACCTAAAACACATAAGTGACTAGCTGCTGTCATATTCATCAAAGTTCTCTCCCCTGACTATTTCTGATTGATGATACCTTCCTCTACTGGCAAAATCTTCATTATCTTCTGTAAGTTGGGATGCCAGTGTTTGGACTGCGGGTGTGGTTGGGGCAACAATTATTTCCTCTGGATGCTTACCTCCCCTGAAAAATCAAGATAATAAAATTTGTAAAAGTTTCAAAATTACTTTATATTTACCAAATTCTGTTGATCTTTTTTTTTTTTTTTTTTTTTTATCATTTCTTGAAGAAAAGTAAGGTCTTCTGGTACAAATAAACTGGACATCAAAAAGAATAATTTTGTCAACAAATGATCAAAACATTCTTACATACTTGTCATTTAACACAAAATAGGTATAGATGAAGGTAAAACTAGACAAAGTGATGCCCCTGCACTCCACTCTGTAGTAACTGTATTATAACAAAGTCAATGTAGGACTTTCTTTAACATATTATTGTGTCTGGGAGACACAAATGATGCCCCTGCAGATGCAAAGTGTTATTTCAAAATACATAAAGTTGAGCATGAGAGCACATAGGTCTATGGTTCACTGTAGGAGGAGTTATCTGCAAACGCTATGCACCTCTTATGGAAGTATATACTCCTAAAATGACAAAGTTCAACTATCTCCCAAAAGAGCCAATATCAATAAAAATCAAACCCTGACCACATGCACACCTTCAATATGTACAAACAGCCAGCAAAGTAAAAACTTCCTAGCATTCAAACTGTTGGAGGAGTTATCTGGAATAACTATATACCCATAATGGGACGGACGGACGGACAGGGGTAAAACAATATGCCCCCAAACTTTAAGTTGCGGGGGCATAAAAAAAGAGTCTAAAACAATAGACACCATGACGAGTGTCTACACAATATGTCAAGCCCTTAATTGCAGCTGTTTTGGGTGGTTATAGATAAATTTTACAGAAACTTTAAAAGTTTGCCATAAACAAAAAATATACATCAAACAAACAAATCTAGTCATATAAGTCAAACAATGACCAAGATTTGCCTAATCAACTACCTGCAGCATCTTTGGAATCCTTCTTTAATCCAATCATACATGTTAAATTCTGCTATACCTGAAATAATGAAATAATTTATTAAAGCTATGCACCATAAGAAAATCCTTAAGAAGAACTACCATATCTATCAAACTTATTGTTAGCCCATCTTAATATTATTTCTTCAGTAATATCTACACTTTTGAATTTTCCACCATGTTTCAAAACTGTTTGTTGAAAAATGAAACCATTTCTACAGCAAAAAAAAATAATTTAAAAACAAAATACAGCTGAAATTTTTGAAGAATTCATAATATGCTTTGCACGCAATTAACAATCTAAATCTTGGACTGCTAAAAGGATACCCTTTTGTCTCCTTATAAAGACAAGTTCACATATTGCATCTTAATTTATTTATGTCAAGAAAGATATCTGATAAACAAGTACCCTAGGACAAGTTTTTAATTGAATTTGACTTATAAAATATTATCTTACCTGGAAAATAACCTGGGCTAGCCTGCCCAATGTAAATATAAATGATGAAAGCTACAGATATCTCAACGAAGGCATATATCCAATTAATGGAAAACATGATGATAACACACACTATCACCTGAAAGTAGAAAATAATATGTCTTAGAAATTATCTCTATTATGGTTTATCCCTTCAGCGAACACAAGTTCATCCCCAGATTTTTGGTGGGGTTCTTAGTGCTCAATCAATTCTATGTGTTTTGGTTTACTACTATTACAATGTACTAAAGTAGGTGTTTAATGACCTTGACTACCCTCAGGCCTCTACAATAACTTTTTTTCCAACTTGTCCAGTAGGACAAGTACATACCAAAACTTACTTGTCCGAATGAAATTGTAACTTGTCCAACAAACATCTTAATAATAACCTTTTTTGCATTTTATGTTGATTCAAGGAACAAAGTGAATTAAAACAATAGAACAGAATTTGATTTATATCTTTTGAAATACCTTTTAAAAATATGAGTCGAGAACAACTGAATCTAGTCATGTCACAGGACATAGGTTCTAGTTTTCGTCAATGCCAAAGTCTCATCAGACTCTACACATGAGGCACCGTCTGATAGGCCTGTCAATTTCCACTCATTGGATTTGTATCCTGGTTTTTTAAGTTGAAAAAAGTTTATTCAAATTCAATCAATAAAAAAAAGAAGATGAGGTTTGATTGCCAATGAGACAACTCTCTGCAAGAGACCAAATGACACAGAAAATAATAACTATAGGTCACCGTATTGCAAGTATTGTTTTTTTCTACTATATATGATCAAATATGATTTGGGAATTTTATGGTAAATAATTTCTTCATTTTTATTTAAAAATATTTTTGTTAAAAAAATTACGGTATTGTATTTATTATAAAGCAACAGAATAAGGTAGGAAAACGAGGTACTGATTTGTCTTGGTCCCGAAATGTCTCCTGTCTCCTGCGTTCCCAAACTGTCTATTAATCATGTCTATTAAATATGTCTCCTACGGTACCAAACTGTCTATTAAACATGGAGCCAAATCGTTTCCGAGCTGGTGACGAACTGTCTTGTAAAGTTACAAAGCGCATCGCTGATTCGGATCAGTAAGACTGGTTTCCGAGAATAGTATGTCTGTTACCTGTTAAAAAGTACCTGACAAAGAACCAGTTTTAAATTATCGATTTCAAGTAAACATGTCAAATAAGAACTTGTGTTTATCATCTTTTCTTGTGTTTTGTTTATAATTACTTTGTTCATCAAAGTTGGATTAAATTTATTTTCTGCATAATAATTTAACTTGTCCCGTCGGACAAGTTTGATATAGCTTTTACTTGTCCGACCTTTTTTTCCTCTGGTACCGGACAATCGGACAAGCGTTATTGTCGAGCCCTGACCCTTGAGGGTCTCACATGTTCGATATATATCATAAATATACTGGTTTGTAGAATGTTTGCATTTTTGTGTTGTTCATTGTATTGTCTTTGTATTGAATTTTTTTCCTTTTGTTTGGTATTTCCTATTATTTTGTGGATACCAGAGTTTTGAATAAAGGTTTCCTGTTTTACCTCAATGCAATATTCGTGCATTTTAAACTAACAATTATTGATGTAAAAAAAGGTACCGTAAATAATTCCAAATTTTGTGAATTTAAATATTAATGCATGAGTTTACTATTTGTGTATCACTGATTACTGGTAAAACTGTTAGATCTAATTAACATGACTGTAAAAATTGTTAAGAAAAATTATACTGATATTATGAATGTACTTTATTTTACTATTAAGAACCAGATACTGGCACATTTTTTATATCAATAAAAAAGATCAAAAATTTCTTAATACAGTGAACAATTTGTATAGCTACTACTACTTTATCATTAAAACTACTTTATCAAGTTTATACGAGAACATTTTTTTTCATAAAAAAGAAAGTATAACAAATATTGAACACCAAGGTAATATTCAAAATGTGCAAGTCCAAAAAAATTGATAAAATTAAACATTATCAACTAACGGAACAAGCGAAAATAATTTTTAATAAGTCATTTTCCCAACTTGGTACAAGCATTTTCCACAGCTAGCTAGCTAAACCTCCCACTTGTATGACAGTTGTAATACAGACAACTTAACTTACACCAAACAATGATAGCCATCTATTGCACAGAACAGAATACCAGGATCTTGGTAACATTGTGATCTCATCACTCAGAGATTTCTTTGGTTCGCCTACAATAAAATAAAAAGTAAATTTACATTTTTAATAATTTAGAAATAAAATCATATGCAAATGCACCATCATTAAAGAAATGGCCTGACTAACAATAGAAAAAAAAATCTGAACATTTTTTCCTACAATAACAAACACACTCAAAATTACAAAATATGATTTTCTTGAAGTTTTTACAACAATTAGAGTAGTAGCTGCATCTTTGTATCAAAATATTTTGATATACATGTATTTACCATTAAACATTAAACATTTGTCAAAATTTTCTTACAGACTTTATTTTGATGTTTTTGGTAATTTTTAGACATTTAAGTTTGATACACAGATTGAAGTTTATATATTTCAGTCGTTTTTAGGTGATATTAGGATCTGAATGGGTGTGAAGACAGTTATTCATTTATCAGGGTACAGTAATAATGAACCATTATACCCAATGAGCCTGTAATTCAGTGGTTATGTCCGTCATCTTTGTTTTTGGTTTGAATTGTTTCACATTTTTCATATCGAGGTCTTCTAAAGCTGACTATACTGTATGGATTTTTCTCGTGTTTAAGGCTGTACAGTGATTTATAATTGCTTTTGCTTTGTCATTTGAACTCCTGTGGATAGTTGTCCCATTGGCAATCATACCACATCTCCTTATTTTTCTATCAGTTAAACAAAAAAATAAACAAGGACCAAAACATACCACTGCCATCTTTATCTACAAGTAGAGATGAGGTATCAGTATGTTCAGAAAAGGTATCCAATGATTTGTCTCTCTTTGTGGCGTCAAAGTCCGCTTCTGGTGTCGTAGCACAACTCTGAGTCTTAATACTACTCTCTCGTATATGATGGTGCTGCCCTCTTTGTGTCATTCTCTCAGGAAAAAGTTTATCCAAGTCTGTTTTTACTTTCTCAAATGAATCCTTTGGCCTAACATCAACTGAACCTGTCGTACCATACCCAACAGTTCCATTTGTAATTTCTCCCTGTGAGTTCCTCTTTGGAGGTCCATACCTTAAGTCTCTTTCTTGTCTACGATCGTAAGTCATAGCAAGAGCAAAATAACAATAGTCTATGGCAGCGTACGTCATCATAAATGCTGTCGTGACAATTGGCGCTAAAGTGTTAACATCTCCAACAAAAACAAATAACAGTACAACAAGAATAATAACTATTAATGCGTAGATGGGAACTTTATTTGGGCCTCTCTGAAAAATATAAAGAAATTTTGTTTATTCATTTATCTTTGTAACAATAAATATAAAACATAAAATTGACAAGAAAGTAACATGGGTATTTAAACATCAAACACCATATTGTATTTCCCTTATAAATTCAACAGAATTCATTCTTTTATTGTTAGACCGAGGACTGACAGGGTGCAAACTTTTATTGGTCCTTCAAAAATCTGGTGATCCTCCCATTTTAATTGAAAGGTTTTCCCTTTATTTTAATCCTTAATTAAATAATTTTGTGAAAAGAAATTAAAAAAATTGATATAAAATTGACTACACATCAATTGCAATTTTGTCAACTTACCCCCTGGCCTAGAATCCTGATAAGTGGTATAACATTCTCGTTGGCTATGGACTGCAAGATTCTAGGTGGTCCATATAAACTACCCATACAGTTTGATATTGATGATATATATAATCCTGCTAACCATAAAACACCAACTACAGATACCTAAAAGTACATAATAGAATTGCTCTCAACTACTTATACAGTTTGAAATAAATAATTCATAATAATAAATATGTTTGGTAGCTATTACTCGCAACTACACATACCAAATTATACAAAATAACATTTGGTTGAGGCAAACTAAAGTTAGAAAACGGAAACCAACTTTGGGATGTACGTACGTACAGACGGACAAGGGTAAAACTTAATGCCCCCTCCGCTACAGCGGCATAACAAAATTGGTGTCAACTGACTATGTACAATGATGTAGTTTGAGATAAATAATTCAGAATGTTTGTTAGCTATTAATCACAAGCAAAATCAGTATGTAAAGTCAAATGCTGATTTTGAGTTGTAATCAACAGAGTGAGGACACCTGTGTGTGTTTATAGCTAGGGCTGTTCCAGATATAGATGCATGGGGGACATGGGAGTCGCATAATATTCTGAAGTTCAGTTTTCCATGTGGTTGTATATTATAAAACATTTAATTTTTTGGAAAATCTAGTTGATAAGCAGACAAGAAGTTAACAATTAAAACACTTGACATTTAAGTACATTGTGAGGAAGTCATCCATATTTTATACATTCATCATTATATTTTTTAAGTTTTATAGGATAGTAAAAAAAATTATTATTATTAATTGGCCGTTTCATAATCTAATGCATTCTGGGTAATATTCTCCAAGTGTACACCAAACCGTAGTGATTGCTTAAAAATGTGCCAAACAATGGAAACTCAACCAATGACGTGATGTTATTTCCTCTAGTCCTTTAGCTCCTGGAGCTGCCCATTGACAAAGTGTAATGAATACAATCTTATGTTATTTTTTTTAACCATTGCAATTCAATGAACTCATTCAATAGAAAGGAAAAATTATATTGAAAAAGTGGAGTGCTTTGTAATTTTAAGTCTAGACATACTTCCCTCCTGTATCTCATAGCTCCCTTCTAGTGATCAGACTTATAGGCTAGAATTCAATTTGTTTAAGTAATATCGTATTACAAAATGTAAAGTGATCACGATTCAAATTTATTTTTGTAAAATTGTATCACATAAAGAGATAGCCCCCCAGTTTTTGGTAAGGTTCCTGTTGCTCAGTTTTTAGATTTTATATGTTGTGTTTTGTATACTGTTGTTTGTCTTTTGGTCCTTTTCCCTTTTTTGCCACGACATTGTCAGTTTATTTTCGACTTGTGAGTTTGAATTTTCCTTTGGTACATTTCGCCCTTTAGTACAGTGATCACATAATTAAATTTTGCATGAACAAAGGTTGTTTAAGATAGCAATATTAAAGGCAATTAATTCAAGTTTAATAATAATATCCTTTCCCTATTTTTTGACACTGTATCTTACCTTTTGTGATATCATATAGTCATGTTGGAGGTAGGGACGAAGGCATGTAGCTCCTAACACAATGGTAAAACATATGTACAGCAAAGTTCTGAAAAATAAATTCAAGCGATGATAGAACTGACATTCTACAAAGAATCAACACATGCAATACCTATGAACAACATGATGAAAATGGTTAAATTATATACAATCCAGTATTAGAGAATGTGTCCATGGGACACAGATGATGCCCTCTCTTGCATATAACATAATAAAGGGCAGAACTTGAGAACGTTACAAGTGACCCCACCCAAATTCAAATTTGATCTGAGTTTTGTGGTAATAAGCATTGTGTACAAGTTTCATAATATTTGGTCGAGACTAAAGTTAGAGAATGTAAACTGATTTTGGGAGGTACTGAAAACTATTTAATTGTAACAACTGATCGTCTAAAAGACGAAAAAATAACCACCACATAAGCTTCCATCCATGCACATTATTACATAAACTTACGAAGATCCTAAAGCTGCCAGAGTGCCATTTGGTATATTAGACAGAGGGTCGTGGAGATCACCACTCATATTAATTCCTGCCAAAATCCCTGTCACAGTGGAGAAAAATAATCCAAAAATTGTGAAGAAACTCTGATCTTCAACATAATGTGGTCCTGAGTTGTTACGTAGATTATAACTATCGTATCCTGTGAAACCAGACTCTGAAAAAAAAACCAAACATATTCTGTACAAAAAATAATAAAGTAGTGAATTCAGTGACTACAAAATGTACTGATCTTCATATTCTAAATTGTCAAAAATTGTTTTCTGTTATCTTGTTTAAAAAAAACAATTTGGTGTTTGAACTGTTTCTAATCTAATCATATCTGGGCCATACATAGCTAACTACATATGAACATAATTTGGACTCTGGTGGACAATTGTCTTCTTGGAAATCATACTACATCTCTTTGTCCATTAACTACAACTCTTATAATGAGTTAGTACTTTTTCACACTTATATGTTAATGATAAACACTTAAATATATATTTGTATACTTCCCAGAATTTGAATGAAAACTATACCAAAAAAGACAATTTTTTTAAATCCATTTTTTTTATATAAATGCTGGCCATAAAACATATGAGTTATTGATTTTCAAACTGAGTATTAATCAATTATAGTTGTTTTTCTTTTCCTTTTACACTTTGCTACTTTCCTCTGTATGACATGTATGATGAATTTCTAAGGGCTCAATTTTATGAAATTCTAAGTATACTTTCTATTATTAATGACAATTGGATTTCTATTTCCATTTCAAAGCTTGAGATTATGACAATATGGCAGTATACATCTATTATATGTCCTTTGCTTATTCTTATATAGTTTAATATTCATAGCATCCATTCCCTCTCATTACTTTTCCAAACTGCCTTGGTGGTCTCGTAGTTGCGTGTTCCCCTAGAGTGCTGGAGGTTGTGGGTTCGAATACCGGCCGGGTCAAACCAAAGACTTTAAAATTGGTAATAGCTGCTTCTCATCTAAGCACACAGCATTAAGGAGTAAGAACAAAGACTGGTTGGCTCGGAGTGAGAATAATGTGTTCGAGTAAGGTGACATGTGAACTTTAAAATGTGATTAAAAATCCGGCTCAGCATGTCAGTTTAGTACAAAGCAGGATTAGTATTCATATTACATTAACATGTTCTCATCCTGAACATTGCAGATGGGCATAAGCAGCCATCCATCATCGTTACTTTGCTGATTTTAAATCAAGATTTGTATATTCAGATGAATCAGTAAGTAAACAAGCTCCACTTGTCACGCTTACTCTTAGGCCAACCAGCCCAGGCTTGTAAAATCACTATCAAGCCTATAAGAATTTCAAACTAAAAGCCAATTGGAATCTATACAAAATTATCAATAAACAGCTGCGCCATGAGCGCATGATACGCCCGTCGTCTTGTATGTGAATTTTTATGCAATAAGCATAAATAGTTTCTGACATACTGCGTGACATGCGAAAAAAACCCCTTTTTTTTTTTACAAAAACTCAATATCTCTAAAATAAAATTTTGAATCAAAACCAAAAAGTATACAGATCTTTAGATTAATATAACTAAGAAGTGTGTAAAATTTTAAGCAATAATCATAAATCGTTTTTGAGATACGGCGCGACATGTGAAAACCCCCCCCTTTAAAAAAAAAAAAAATCAATATCTCAAAAATAAAATTTTGAATCAAAACCAAAAAGTATACAGATCTTGAGATTAATATAACTAAGAAGTGTGTAAAATTTTAAGCAATAATCATAAATCGTTTTTGAGATACGGCGAGACATGTGAAAAACCCCTCCCCCTTTTTTTACAAAATACTCAAAAACTCAAAAATAAAATTTTGAATCATCACCAAAAAGTATACAGATCTTCAGGTTAATATAACTAAGAAGTGTGTAAAGTTTTAAGCAATAATCATAAACTGTTTTTGAGATACGGCGCGACATGTGAAAAAAAACACACACCTGTTTTAGTTACGAAGTCCCGTAACTCGAAAAGTTTTAATCTTATTTTCACCAAAAAGTATACAGATCGTTCGACCATCATAAGAAAAAACTGTTAAGTTTCATGAAATTTGGATAAGTCATTCTCAAGTTACGGTGCGACATGTTTACACCGGACAGACAGACGGACGCCGGACATTTGTATACCATAATACGTCCCGTCAAAAATTTGACGGGCGTATAAAAATTGAGCATCAGGCCTGTGGCTGCAAAGTTTATCGTGAAAACTGTAAACAATTTAAACTGTAATATTACCTGGCTCTGTATGTACAAATGATCCTACCAGGAAATCCATCACAGACAAAAACATAACAATAAGTAGTATCAATTGGAACCTAACCACCCACTTCACACCCGCTACATTAATACCTACAAACACAATAGATTTATAGCATATATACTGATAAACAATAAGTACATCTGATCAAAACAAGTAAAACTATGAGCTACTGCTCAATGATGATACCCCCACCGAAATATTTCAGTAAACAGGAAGTTGTTGAGTGATGAATCTGAAAACGCATCATACGGTATAGCTGACTTATATAAACCCTGAAACCAATTTCAGAAATCCTTGTCAAGTAGTTCCTGAGAAAAATGTGACGAAAATTTTCAACTTGGCTATCATGTGTAAAATAATACAAGTGTTCGGTAAACAGGAAGTTGAGTGATGAATCTGAAAACGCATCACGCGGTATAGCTGACTTATATAAACCTTGAAACCAAATTTCAGAAATCCTTGTCAAGTAGTTCCTGAGAAAAATGCGACGAAAATATTCATGGGACGGACGGACTGACTGACGGAAGGACAGAGGTAAAACAGTATACCCCCCCTTTCTATAATTATATAAAGTTCATTATAGAATAATCAATGTTATCATGCATGTCATCATCAGCAATTCTAGTATAAAGCCTTGCTTCTCTTACAGCAACAGTTTCTTTTTTTTTCTTTCTTTTTTTTTGGGGGGGGGGGGGGGGGGGGGGGGGGTCCATATAAAGAAAAATTCATGAGAGTATAGGAATTTTTCATAATGGCTTTATTTGTATTGGTCTTCATTTTATTTTGGGGTGTAAAAGCTTGTTGTTCCATAGCTTTACTATACTTAAAATTTGATTAACCTAAAAGTAGTATGACTAGACCAGTTGTATTTACCTAAAAGTAGTATAACAAGACCAGTTGTATTTACCTAGATTAGTATAACTAGACCAGTTGTATTTACCTAAAAGTAGTATGACTAGACCAGTTGTATTTACCTAGAGTAGTATAACTAGACCAGTTGTATTTACCTAAAAGTAGTATGACTAGACCAGTTGTATTTAACCTAAAGAAGTATGACTAGACCAGTCTTATTTAACCTAAAGTAGTATGACTAGACCAGTTGTATTTACCTAAAAGTAGCATGACTAGAATAGTTGTATTTACCTAAAAGTAGTATGACTAGACCAGTTGCTACCCCTTTAGCAATCCATGGATTATCTAATCCTGTTAATCCCAGGATAGATTCACCAAACCCCATCACTGACAGAGAACATCCTACAGCCTACAAAACAAGAAATAAAATGGTTTAACTTAAATTGGTATTTCTTTTAGTTATAGTCTTAATCAGGTAAAAACTTGTCTTAGGTCAATGCAACATCAGATATCACCTAAGGGCTCTTCCAGATATAAACCCATGGTGGTTGGGGGGAGGCACTTTTTAGACACCAACCACACATAATATAAAATTTTCATTTAACTTTTAATTCTTTAATACAAAATTCTAAAGAAACATTTATTAATGTTAATGCCTATTCCCCAATGCATTTAAATCTGGAACAGCCCTACGAAAACACCAAACAATCACTAACATGAAACGTAACATCAGAAAATAGATATTTACCTGTGCAAAGCAGTAGATGATTCCCAGACTGCCACCAATACGACCTCCCATGACGTGAGACAACAGGAAGTAAACGCCTCCTTTACCCATCTTGCATCTCTCACAGACTCCGATTCCACTCACAGCTACTATGAACACAATAAATACAGCACAAAAGATAATGAAAATCGTCATCCATATTCCTGCATTACCCTGGAAAGAAAGCGGAAATCAGCTACCATAAACCATACATGCATTTAATATGGACCAATTTATGGTAAAATAAAATGTGTTAGGATTTCTTGTCTCAAAGTAGGCTTGTAGGTCAACATTTTATTTTGGTTCCAAGTCAGAAAATACTGCATCTTTACAAATGAGAATTCAAGTATTTTAAGTATTTATTGTCTTTAATACGGAAAAGAAAATAAAACATGATTGACTTAAACTTAGTAGTGGTTGATCCAATGGGGTTTGGAAACAATTACTTTCATGACTAATAGTCTGGTTTATTTTGCAATGATAAAATGAATGGGGAAAATGTTTAAATTCCTTCAATGTTGGACAAACCTTGAAGTTTGGTATAAACTCATGTAATATTCTAAATATAATTGACCTCTTGACCTTGACAGAAAACTACTTCACGCATGCACGGTTTATGTTGTTTTATTCAAACTCGAAAGTTCATTTAACCGTAAATAATAAATCCTTAGTGTGACTGTCTATCATGAATTACAACAAATGTATTCTTATTCTTTTATGACTTATTTTCTATGTCACTATGCAAAATGTTTTTATTTCTTCTCTATATAATTTCCATGGATTTCTTTGGAGTTCAAATGAGTGTGGGTCTGAGATAAGAAGCTTTTTTTTCTAGCAGGGAACCACTGAACTTTTAATTACAAAAGTCCAGGACATCCCATCCTTAACATTCTTTAAAGCAAATTTGAACCCCTGTTTATTCAGTAAAGTTTAACATCAAATTAAAAACAGAAATGTAGGTTGGATCTCACGTCTCATCAATCCTTATAAAACAGCATACTCAAAAATTTTCAAAAGCAGGGATGTCTATTAAAGGGGTCCTATGAGAAAAGAGGAAGGGGTCATCCCAAGTTTTTGCTGAATTTAAAGTGATTTCAGAAAATTTTCAGAAGAAAGTTTGTGACATGAATCCAACCCCAAAATTCCCCATCTAAATCTGACAATGCAATATTTTTATATGATGATAAGCAATACCAACCACAATCCATCCCATTCGAAGGAAGATGATAACTCCAATGAGGTTGATGAGGCAAGAAGTGAACACACCATCCCATGTTCCAAACAACACTGGCTCCATAATGAAAAAGTTGGCTTTCCACCATGGCCTATGTTCTGATAAGTTCTGAAATAAACATAACAATCTGTGTTGGTGAAGATCAATAACCACTCAATGCTTCCAAAGGTTTTTTAAGTAGGGGGCACTTTCAATAAAAGGGAAAAATTTAAGGTCGGGGGTCAGTAGCTGGCGAAAGATCATGCAAAATCCTGCAATTTGAGCATTTCCTGGCATGTTTTGAAGCTGTGAAAAGTGATAATTTTTAATGTGACATTACTAATTTTTTTTCAGCTTTGAGCCTGGCATGAGCTGAGCATAATGAGATTACCATTTTATTTTTGTTCTGACAAGTGATAATTTTTTATTGTGGCATTGTTTTGAAGCTGTGAAAAGTGATCATTTTTTATGTGAATTTTTTAATTTTTTTCAGCTTCCACTCCAGCATGAGATTACCTTATAGGTCATTAGACTTGAATGTTCATGTTTAATTTCAAAAACGAGCGATTTACTTCCTAGTTCTGACTCGTTTTATATTTAGCGTAAAAAAGATATTTTTTTAGACATTTCCTCACATAAAAAATGTACAGAAATAATTTTTTAAGTGAAAGTAGGCAGCACCTTTACATTGCATAGACGGCTGAATTCTGCCGCCTACAGGCTTCTTTTGAAAGCACTGACCAGAGTAAAATATTCTCACAGAAACTATTAAGGTTTATCATAACAAATGGACAAAAATGGCTGTATTAACACCTCAAAAACTACTCTTGAGTACAGAGTGACCTTTGCCGTTGGAAAAGTTTTAAGGTCTGGCATCCACTAGATATATATAAAATTTAAGTGCATTTTGTGTTTCAGAAAGTTAAAATCTTTTGGGGATTTTGATGGGCATTTTTTTTTGTTTCTGTTGTTGGTGTAAAAATAAACAAACACCTGAATTACATTTGATACTGTCCACTCAGTTACACCCTTAAACTCACCTATTGTTGTGTAGATATCTATTGTCCACGCCAATCAAGGACAACCAATACAATACAATACAGATGTTACCCGAAAGGGAACATCTCAAAGATTTAACCTAACTTATTTTATTTTTACACCTACTGCAGGAACAGAAAAAATGCCCATCAAAATCCAAAAAAGATTTTATCTTTCTGAAACACCAAATGCATTTAACTTTTATATATCTAGTGCATGCCAGGCCTTAAAACTTTTCCAACTAGACAGGTTAGTCTGTACTCAAGTAGTTTTTGAGGTGTAAATACAGTCATTTTTTTCAATTTCTTATGATGAACCCAAAAATTTGTTCTGAATAATATATTTATCTTAATTAGATTTTCATAGCCCAGTGTGTGAAACCTCAACTTGCAAATTCACCAACTGCAAGTGAGAGATATATTTTGGGAGCACTGATGGTGTCTTGATACTTCGGAAACTCATGTGTTAAGGTTCATGTGGACCCATTGGCTACAATGGCTGCATTTTCACCTCAAAATTTTCTCCGAGTACAGACAAACCTGTGTATAAAGTTCATATATATTCTATGTTTTAGAAAATTAAAAAATTAACGGGATTTTGCAGTACACTTTTTTTCATTCCTCCAGAAGGCACCAAAATAAACTAAGTTGGTAAAGAGGTTTGAGAACTTCCCCACAGGTAATAATTGGAAGTGAACTGTTTTGACTGAAATGGACAATAGATATGTGACAATAATTGGTGTTTTAAACTGTGTACCTGAGTGGACCATATCAAGTGAAACTTAACTGTTTGTTAATTTTATCATCTTAAGCAGGGACGAAAAAAAGTGCACTGCAAAATCCAGTTAAGTTTTAAATTTTCTAAAACATACAATGCATTTGGATTTTATTTATCTAGGGCATGCTATGCCTTAAAACTTTTCCAGATACACAGGTTTGTCTGCACTCAGAGTAAATTTTGAGGTGAAAACGCAGCCATTTTAGCCAAAGGGTCCACATGAACCTTAAAACAATTCATATTCATAATGTAGATTTACCTGTTCTTCTCTAAAGAGTTCATTTTGTTGTTCGTCTCCTCCTTGCTGATAACTACCAAAGGTACTGTCAGATTTCTGAGGTGAGGACCATTTCTGTTCATCACTAGTGAGTCCAAATCGACTCCAGTCTGGAGTCCTTTTCTGTTTCTCAGCCTCAGTTGACATCAGGATGGTCCTTTCATTATCATCAGAGGACATTATCTGTATGCTTCACTATACATTATTTGCTACATTTTCTGCAATTGTAAAATATGTCCTTTTTTTGTAAATTATGTAGATCGATGTCATTGACATGTTCATGATATCATACCAAAGGCAGGGTTGTGTACTAGACTGATACCCTGCCATTATTTGACAAGTTTAAAGGCATATTGAACATTTCAGGGAGGGAACCAACTTAGGTTGAATTAGCAGAGAGACAGACTATTTCCAGCTATTCCTGATCATGAGAAAACTTTTCCACTACGCAAAATATTAACACAACACAGGGTCGTTACTGTATCAATGTGTATCATAATCTCCGAACAAAATTATTTCTCTGTCTGCAATTTCACAACCCCAAACAATTGTAAAAATAGACAAAAATAGTGGAATTTTAGTGATCTCCAATTCAATAAAATATCAATTGGCATTATCATGATTGTGACAAATGCAAAATTGATAATATAAATATCTTTAGTTTCATAAAATAATATGTCACTGTACCATCAGAAATTGATCGGACATTATAAATATCCTGTGTAGACAGTTATTGGAGGTGGAGTTATTTCCCATAGATGTCTAACCAATTAAAACAGTTCAGTCAGCTGATAAAAAAAAAAAACAGATCATGGCAGTGACAAGAAAACAAAACAAAATTGTAAATTATACAAAGCTGCTTTTTCTTTTAAGTACATTTGTAGGGCAGTCAGTACAATGAATTGAATTTGGTGAACATTTTATTAACATTTTTTTTTTTAAATAGGAAGAAAGTAAAATTCATATTGCTGTCTTAATAATTGCATGTCGTGACCCTACATGTAAAAGGTCATAAATTCAGTTCTTGAAAAGTGGTGGTCCAAAAGGTTTTGACCACCAAAATTTTGCAAGGGACCAACACAATTTGAGTATTTTGCAATAAATAACATTAAGAACCTGCAGATTTTCTTCAAGGACCAGCACCGCAGCAGGGGAAAACAGATTTTGGAAACACTGATAAAATGTAAGAAAGGAATTGAATTTTGGCAATCAAATATCAGAAATAAAAGATCTGCACTTATATGACTGATCAAATTACATTGAACTACCAGTACTGGCAGTAGCCCAAAATATATTTTTGCCTTCGCAAGAAAAACAGCCAAATTTTTGAAATCTAAATGGTCATAACTTTTGAACCGCTTGACCGATTCCCAAAATTTTGGCATCAATGAATTTCTTTTTTTTTTGCTCTTTCATAATAATGTAATTTTATGCACTTTCTCTATACTTCATATTTTGGCTGACCTCCCTACAGTAGTACTGTAAATAAAGGGGGGGGATAACTTGGTTCCGAACTTTTAAGTAAGTGCTCTATTTATGTAATTGATTTGTGCTAATCTGTAATTCTATTTTCTGACACCCCAACTTGACTTGATACAACAAACACTTCTACCCTGTGGCGTCAAACATTTCCTTTTGTCGACATTTTGTGATACCAAGAATGCGAGTAATGGCGGATACAAGCAAGGCGAAAAGGACGCCGTCGTGGCAAAACAAAAAATCCTAGAAATGCCATTTCATGAGCACTCAAATCCGTGGGATTGCGTCCTTATTTCATCAGCTAAGTGTTGTCATCATTCATGATCTTCTAGTTGTCAGGAAGTATCCTATCACCGCTCCTTTTGATATCTTTCATAAATCGGAAACATCGACCTCCGTTTAACTTATTTGCTTAGTATGAAGGTCACCCCCAAGACAATTGTGATCACGTGGCTGGCTTCTGGTACAAAGATAAAACCCGAGAAAATCGAATTCATTCAGGTGCGTCATTCGTCACAACTCGGTCGATTCCGTACCTCTATAGATTGAGAGAAGCGGAGTCACCCGAGGTTAGCCGATTGTCAAGTGCGTCAGTTCTGCTAAGTATTACCTTTGTTAAAAGCTTGACTGACTTTAGCATAATAAATTGATTGATTGATTGATTGATTTTTAACGCCACTTTAAGCCCTATTGTGCTATTTCGTGGCGGGCTGGAGGTAACCACCGAACTTCGGTAGGAAAAATGACAATCCCAGTCAATTTATACTGGAGTCATTCCCAACCTGCTATGTGCAGGATTCAAACTCACAACTTCAGAATTGACAGGCTAGCTAGTGATACAGTAGTTCGACTATTAAGACCAATCAGCCACTAAGGCTCTCTTAGCATAACAAAAGCTGAAAAACAATGTATGTAAAGCAAAAATATTGTCCCCACATGTACAAATTCATGAATGTGTATCATTATATATTGTCCCTTTTTATGAAATAATGCCCAGAGAATGACAATTTTGGATATGGAATTTTGTTTATATAGACAATATTTCATAGATTGATCTTAGTATGTAATATTAAAGTTACATTTTTTTCAATTTCAGAAAAATATTTCATGGAATTGATCATCATAAAATTTTGTCTCAATAAAGATATATAAATATGTATTTTTGACATTGGTATCATAAAAGTGTTTATTATATTGTTACTGATAGTAACACAATCACTTTAATGATATCAAACAAACCTAATTTTATAAATATATGAACATATTTACCTATTAAATAGTTTTGCACATCATGGATGGCAATTAACACTGGCATATTTAAGGTCAACAAGCAGTGGCGGATCCAGAGGGGGGTTCCGGGTTTTGGACAATCAATGCATTTGAATGGGGACATATAATTGGAACCCCCCCTTTATCCTGGGTTGAGAACCCCCCCTTTTTAAAATGACTGGATCCGCCCCTGACAAGCATTACCAGAGGGAAATATTGATAATCAGAAAAGAGTATTAGAAGAAATGCTACTTTCTTTGTATTGAAATACAATGAAATATATTCATCTGTATAAAATTCATTTATTTGCATTTAAAAATGATGAAATATATATTCCAAATGTTTTGACAAGAAAACCAAACTTGCAACTGACACTTGTTATCCAGAAACCCTCACAATTTCATTCATTGCTTGGAGGACATATTTTGATTGGGAAATATTGTCAGTATTTCAGAATTTCAAAATCAAAACATTGTCTGTGGACAACAACAAAAAAATAAGAAAGTATGAGGTAATTATTTATCTTTAAAACCTACATGTATAATTGAAAGAAACAATATCATATGCAAAATTCTGTGGATTTATTTCTAAATGATTTATTTCTGGTATAAAAATAAAAAGTTGTCAGGAGGTGTGATCAGCAATGAGACTACACACCAAAACCAGATGACATGGAATGATGTAAACAACTTTTATATTACCACAGAACTTATATAAACTTTTTATTATAAAAAAAACATACAATACTTTTTATAACTAACCTCTGAACTCCTAGATCCGTGCCTGATATAATTTTACAAGAGACGATTTTTATACCTATTTACCTTTTAATCGACCAGAGATATGATGAAACAGTTGAATTTAATGTTTAAAAAATTTTAATTTCTATATCTCAAAACACATTTAGTGTTGTATAAAATTTGGGAGTTGCCTCCTATTGTCTGCTAATAACACATTGTACAACTGTTTAGTGTTTGCAAAAATGAAACTATAACAACAGTATGCATTTCAAATAGTTCAATGATTTGAAATTTGTACATGTACAGAGGTTTAATTTTCCATTAATAGATCTAGAGAGCTCACTCTTACTGATATCAGAATACTGCAAGTTATCAAAAATCAATTAATAAACCTAAACTGTCACGACTGAGGCAAAATTAAATATAAACCAAATACAAAAAAATCTTCACAACACGACAAATATATAATATAGCTTAAAACTACAAAAGATTTTTTTTCAAATAACCAACTTTTGACTCCAGATTATATAATTTTTGACAGGTTACCTACTCTGTGGTAGCACATTCTGGTACTCTGTTAAGTAAGAGCAACTAAAAGAAGTAAAATCAAGCTTACAACTGGTGTAATTTAAGGAAAAAAATAACTGTTCTTCCATGATTTTTTCTTTGAAGAAAACATAAAACAGCTATAATGTTTGCCCCTAATTTGCACTGAGACAGAGTAGGTAACCTGTTTGGAAATAGCTATTGTCTCTGAATATATACAATTTATATGAGGGTGTGGATGGGGGTTTAAAGAATAGGGAATAATGGACAAAACATATAAAGAATAGAGAAAATGGACCAAAAAAATGAAGAATAGAGAATAATGAGGTGCTAAATTATAAAGAATAGAGAATAATGGGCAAAAAGTATAAAGAATAGAGACAAATGGCCTAAAAATTTAAAGAATACAGAAATGGAGGACCCCCCCCCCCCCCCCCCCCCCCCCCCCATCTAGACCCTCTTCACTATGTAACAAACTAAGAAACAGCTAGGTAGAAATGTTAGGCTGGCAAAGCATTTCTTCCCCCTTTTATACCAAGGTAAAAATTCTATTGTAGAAATACTTTATGCAGATCATATATTAGTGACAATGAATAGATGACACAGGAATTCTGCATATATTCATATATTTTCAAATGATTTTACAAAATAATCTAAAATGAAATCATCCCTTACTTTTGTCATTGAATGACATTATGACATATTGATATATTATATCCTGTTATCTTTTGATGTGCAAAATTTATAATCATGATAATAGTGTGACTAATTAAATACTGAACAATATTCTGTCATAAATATATAGTCAATAATTATATATCATGATACTATGCACTTCATATTGAAACATCTGTTACGAACATGCTCAGACATTACATCATGTTTTTTAATAAATATTTTTATCTTATTATTAGGCCATTTTTACAAAAATCCAAGATTTCTTATCAGACTTTTTTTTTTAATTGGGGAAGGAATTTTTTTTATTTTTTTTACCATTTTTGGGAAAATTTCTAACAAAATGAAAGAAAATTGTGGCCAGAAATTAAAAAAAAGAATTGCATTATTGGCTCTGAAAAAACCTGAGAACCTAGGATTTGTTCTATTATGGCCTTATACATGTACGTATCACAAATACTATTGCTTGACATTGCGAACTTGTAAAGTTCATTGTTTTTTTCCTATACAAAAGTGTTATAGGCTTTTCAGTAGGTTTAATCCAATAAAGGTCAAAATATGTATCTTAAATTGATTAAGCTATAACTCTACCTCTATTTTCAGAGAAGAAATATGATGTCATATTGTTTTTTTCGTCTTAAGCAATTTCGTATCTGAAAATTCCAACACCAAAGCCCTATATGTAGGTCAGTGAAAATCTTGGTTCAGATGATTTCATTTTGCAGTTAGGCCTACATATATTGATATTGTATACTTTGCATTAAAAAGAAAGGAGAAACCAAGGGTCAATAAAAAAAATAATACTTCAAAAAACTCAGATATTACTGTCAACTCAAGCACTTGACTCTGAAAAAGATTTACCTATATACCTTTATATATTATGGTATATATATAGGAAATTTCAGGGACAAGACTTAGTACCCGTGCCATCAACGGAAAAAAAGAACTTTACAAAACACTACACAGTAAAGTAAAAATTAGGAGAAGGAACACCATCAAAGGCATGTGAGCAAAATGCTTAATTTTGATAGATAGTTGGTTCATTAATTTAGAATTGAAAATTTTTCAAACATATATTTAGAATGCTAATGGATAAAATTAGCAATTGAACATCAGAAGGTGACATTTGAAAAGATAAACTGATACTAGTAGGAGGAGCTAGTTAGTGAAGTTTTAGGAAAACTCATTCAATAGTTGATAGAGAGTCAATGTTGTATATGTTGCACTTTGTAAATATAGCGGATTCCCAAACAAGACCTCTTTTGGGGAGATAATTTAATATTCATAGTTATTTTGTTTTGTTTACCTACTGGTTCCCAGATATGATCTCCATGTTTCATCTCATAGAGACACAACTTGGGAATTTTACCTATTATGTAAAATATTTCTAAATTTATCTTTAGTATCAAACCCTTGACCTTTTAATTACCAAATGGAAATGCTGAATTTGACAAAATGTATTTATATAAGAATTCTCTAAGTTAATGTCTCAAGCAGTGGTCAACTGAACATGTGAAATAAACAATTAATTACTTTTCTGAACTACTACTAATAAAATTAACACCTGTCATGCCTGTTGTTCACTACTAAATTCTAAACATGCAAATTCTTATCTTTAAAACTTCTCATCAATGAAATATTGAAAATACTGAAATTATTTAAAATGTAACTTTTAAAATTATCATTTACATCAACTCTACTATACCAGTATAAATACTGTTGGATAGCAGTCAAATTGAAATCTCGGGGAGACTCAAAGTAAAGGGAGGGGTAGTACAGAAATTTAGTACAAGTTAAAACTCTTAGTTCAAGGCATTTATAAATATTGAAAATATGCTGCACAACCCTATGTTTTGACATTTGCAAAAATATTAGTGCATATGAACTTTTCGGGATAAATAGGTTTATTCCCGATTGTCCCACTTTATAAAATTTAAGAGTTCTGATTGTCCCACATGAAAAGTTCTGATTGTCCCATATTATTTTATGATGTAAAATGTTCTTAAACAAACAAGGTAGTTGTTGTTTGTTTTGCTAAACTAACCAGAATTAATTATTGCATATTCAAATTATTATTTGACATCATTTCTATATCTGTATGAAATATGATTTTTTTTTAAATCGTCTGATTAATGCACTTTCGATTAAATAGTATAAAATTTCTGAGTTATAAAATATATATATAATGTTACATATATTTATAAA